TTAAAATGGTAATGTATCAGGGAAACCATCCCGCCGAGAAGGAAGTCCCCTTCCTGGTACCACACATACGGAGTAGGGATGGGATCAACCACATGACATGCCAGACAATTCACTCTGACTAGTGGGATCATGAGAAGAAGAAGAAACATCTGGGCAGCAAAAGTCTTCTGAACTGTGGATGGCTCTGATTTCACTGTAATCAGAATCCTGCATTAGCAAAGAATGGCCACACTGAACACCACTTTTAAGAGCTTTCCTACTCTTTACCTATAAGAAGATAGATGTGTCCTTTATTCAAATTGCCAAAATCAAGCTAACATTGTGCTCAGAGGATTGCACCCTGGTACTATGGCAAACCACAGTCTGAAGCAAAAGAAAGTGAAGACTCCCATCTACCCTTTCCAGTTCTTACTCTCACTTTCAACTCTCCATGGGACAAAATCTTTATATGCTTTTTCATTCTCACTGATAGATTGTATGTCTCTGTTGGCTTCTTTGTATGTTTACATCTTTGACCAAGTGAGCAAATTATACTCACTGGAATAGTTCTAGTGGAGAGATAATTAATTTGCTCTGAATGTTGTCTGTCATTAAAAAAAATGATGTAATAAGTAGAGAAGTAGTAAAGATTAGATGTGTTTTCATAATTGTTCGGGCACTGTAGTTTCTCCCAGAATCCCTCTTCACTTGTTCGAAGTTCAGCCATTGTCTAATTTTCAAACAGATTGTCTCGATAAATTCAGTGTTTAAACTAATAAACCTAGAAGCATACAAACATATTTCCAGATGTAGTAAAATTCATGCTTCAGTGGGGTTATTTCCCAATATTTCCTATAGAGAGCAGAGTGTTTTAGGTGGGACTGTAGGGTTTCTCACATGAATAACAGGATGTAGCTCTGTGGACAAGGATCTTCCTCCTCTAAAGAAAGGAGTTGTTTGCTGAATTCTTAGTTTTTGAATTAAAAAAAATATAAACAAACAAATCCTCTTCATAAGTCAGAAGTGGAGATATCAACAGCAATAACCAGAACAGAGGGAGAGAGAGAGAGAGAGAGAAGGGAAATAATGGTATTCTATTTATTTATTTATTTGTTTGTTTGTTTGTTTGTTTGTTTGTCATTTATTTATTTATTCAATTTGTATGCTGCCCATCTCCCCCAATAGCTTACTCTGGGCAGCTAGTAATTCTAATATCTCAACCTGCATTATTAAAATAAATATTTATTAATTCTACTTCTCTTTAATGTATTTGGATCTTTTTAT